AGGTGGAACAAAATGGCGAAATCTAACATGGCCGTTCGTAGTTGGTGACTCCAAAATAAACAGCGTGTGTCCTTCCCTCCCTGCAGACCGGGTGTGCCAGCAGCCAGGGCTCTCCCTCTGGGTCCCCTTCCAGAACGCCGCCACTGCGGTCACCAACCTCTACAAAGGTAAGGGGCTGCCCACCCCCCGCAGCCCTCCCTGCCGAGCCGGGCCCCGCTCTGCCTCCTGCCCCCAGCTTACTCATAAGCAGGGCCTGTTAATGTCTCTTATTCACCCTGATAAAATCTAACCCGAGACTGCTTCCTGGATCTTGCAAGTTTTCCCTGGGCCACTTTAGCTGATGGTAGCTGAATCTTTTCTGTTGCCTCATGTCAGTGACTAATAACTTAAAAGCTCTTTTACTTCAAGACTCTTGAAAAAGGATGTTTTTAATGTTGTGTCTTGCTGTCATGAATTCAAGGGAAGAGTGCAATAGCTTATTAAACAGTACTTAAATTTCCTCCATTTTGTATGTTTCATGATGTAGTAAATGCTGAGATACCAGTATAATACATCTACATTTGTGCTGAGCCATAGGTTGGGCTTAGTGTTTGTAAAATTCTGTATAGATGTTGTGTGACGAAAAGTTTTCTTGTGGTGGGGAGGCTGCTTAAATAAACCTCACAGTTTATTTTTAAGCACTAGAAGAATGATTGTGTCCAGGGTGTCTGTAAGAAAGCAGTGTTAGCCAAAACTTTGATAGGAGTGCACTCTGTATGTGGCTGTGCTCTTTTGCTGTTTTACTGTGTGTTTCCATCTGTCAGGATCTGTTTCTGAACTCTGCTTTTCCTTGGGGTGTCACAAGAATTTTTGTCCGCAGAAGAATCATTCAGTGGTTTCTAGTTTAAGAGATTGTACCAAAATGATATTTATATTGGGGGAGGCTTTAATTGGCACAGTGGGATTCCAGTTTACTCTCTTCCATTCCTAGGAAGGAAAAAGCTTCAAAGTTCCAAACTGTTGTTTTTCTCACGTGTAGTTTGATTTCTGAGTTGTGGGATGTTTGTTTTTTCTTGATCTATATAGCATTATCTAGAGTTCTCGCTGCATGCTCTTTCATTTGTCTTCAGTTTTCCCATTTTGGATTTGCTTTAAGCAGTCAAAGTTAGTAATGTGTTTGTGGTGGCTGATTTGGTTTCTGACAGATGTGGACAGAGCAAGGAGGAAGTGTAGGTGCATAACCCTCACTGCCAGAGACTGGACTCTTGCAGAAGGTGTATTTGGGTGTTGTGTATGTGTCATAGGCCATATAAAGGGGCAGCACATCACATCACATAACAGGGTAGGTGTTGGCCTGAGGGAGTGGGTCACTAGAACATGGTCTGGGATGCTAGTAACCTGAGCATGGTGTTAGAGTAGCAACAAGGTTAATAAGTTGTCTGGAATAATTATAGTCTTTTTTACAAATGGCATTGCTTTCCCTTACAGGATCTTAACCAAAAGGAAACAGCCTAAGTATTTGTAATAAAAACTTTTGATTACTTGTGCTATAGGGAGCACGAGCCCTATTTTTTTTCTGCAGCAGTGTGATTAACACAGCATGTGTATGTGGTGATCAGGGAAACTAGAATTTAAGTAGGAAGCTGTCTTAAGTCAGGTGTAATGTAGTACTTCAAAAAACAGCACCTGAAAGATCTTTCCTTAAAAAATATCTTTAAGAAGTGCAGGAGTACCTCAGTTATTCAGAACTGCCATTTTTCAGTTTTAAATTAACTTCCAAGTGGGTAGAAATTTGTTGAGAACAGAGGTAGAACCATCTAGGCGCTGGCATACCAGGCAAGTTGGAGTCTCTTAATGTGATGAACATGGCTCTTTAAAAATCTTCTGTTTCTCACATACTCAATGTTTGTGTTTTGGAGGACTCGGTCAAAACACTGGAGAAGTTCTTGGTGTGGTAAACTGAACACCACAACCTACCTCTTGCCCTGTCAGCTGGTTTCTGATCTGATAAATGTTAGGCATTTTGAAGCATCATAATTCTTTTAACAAGAAGTACATGAGGAACAATGCATACGGAGAATCCCACTATGTCTTGAATGGCAGCATTTTTTCTGAAAATAGGTTAGAGGCTTAATGTCGCACCACACTGTGAAGGCCTTGGATCTGAGCTATAGAGACCTCATTTAAAGACACTTGATTATCTTCCAGATTATATTAAAGAAGTGAAGGCATGGCTTGTAGCATAGGATTTAGAATTTAAGGCCATTCTAGAAAGTCGTAGGCATATATTAGAATAAGACTTCTGAGTCTGCAATTTACTTGATTAAAAACCAAATGTTTGGTAATGTTAGTTTTGACTTAGTAATTTCAGGATGTAGGCAACTTGATTGCTTATCTTTTGCCAGTATAACTTTGTAAACAAAGTAGTTGTAGCTTTTACTGTAACAATCTAATCTTTCCGTGGGTAATGATGCTTAAAATTTGTCCAGGCTATGTCAGTGGTCAGTATGTTTGACCTCATAACTAGTTCATAGTCCTTTATAAAGCCTTCTATACGAGGAAAGCGGGTTATTGACATAAAGCTGGGCTCCTTGCCTCTTAGAAGGACTCTCATGGTATTTCAGGGAGTGATTAAAGGAATGTTGTCAGTTTCCAGGTTAGTGCCAAGGCCTTTGGGTAGCTTTTACTAGTGAGTGCATTGGAGCCTTAGCTGCTGTGGAGTACAAAATGGTTGGAGGAATACTGTTGTGTTGCCATTGCTGTCACAGGAATTGCCATTCTTAAGTCTAGCCTTTTGATTATGAAGTGGTGTAGGCAAAATACTCTTGGAGTGCATAACAGTAACTGACATGTTAAGTATACTCTATACCTGCATAGCTTGCATTCTAACAGCCCCAGGATTTAGCTATAATTAATTTGAGATATTTCTTTTTTTGGTAGGCTGTGTTATCTTTAAAGTGCTGCTCTTTGATAGTGTAGATTTTAGTGCCATCTTTTGTGGACCATGCAATGGTGCTTTAGAATGTAAATCTAAGGATAGCATTTAATACTGATTGGTTTTTTTGAGTGTGAGAAAACTAGATGAGGTGTGTGTCACTGTTTACCTGTAAACCGGTATCTTGGACAACTGTTCTTAACTAAATCTCTTGTTCTGGGCGAATGGTTCCTATGTTGAACTTGATTAGTAAAGCAAGAATATAAAAAGCTGGTTTAATCAGCTCTGACAGATTTTTTAAAAAATCTATGGAAATCAAGTAGATGAAATTGGAGTGGATATGTTGATGTATTTTAGTGGAGCAAGAGCTGGTGTAGTTGTAACTTTCATAAAACTGGAATAGCTGTTGGCAAAGCTCTGATAACAAATCTGACAAGATGAGTGCAATTGTGTGGAGAATATGGTTTGTCCCACCTGTTACTGTTGTGTGGGATTTACTCATACTTAAACCAGTAGCCAGAAATGTACTTACCACAGTTTGAAAGCGATGTAAGGCATTTAAGAGTGCTTCTTAGAGGCACAGTTATAACTGATATGTACAGGTGACCAGTTACAGTGGTGGAGAATGAAATTGCGTTTTGTAGGATTAATTGCAAATAATGTGTTTAAAGCTTCGGTGTGTCATATTTGCAATGGGATCTTAAATAGGTAAGGAAAGTTTAGACATTCCTTTGTAAATGGTATGTTGCCTAATGGAAAGGCATTGTGGACACTTGTGTTCTAAGTAGTTTCAAGACTCGCCTCCTGCAGATTCCCTCTGCAATTGAAATTCAGATGAAACTAGACAGATTTTAATAAAATTCCTTCTATCTGAATCAAGAAAAGCAGTTATTCCTTTTGTTTCATGGGGTTTCTTGACTGTACTGATGCAGTCTTAAGAGATGCTCTTAAGTGCGTTGTCTGATTTAAATACCTTTGTCAGACTGACAAGCTCAAAGTGTGTTTTTTAATGTTAATACAATGTAGTTTCATAGTGTGGTAGTGTTGACCTGAAGTGTAGTAAATACTGTTCAGGTGGTGCTTGAGTTGCTGTTGATTTTGACTTGTAAAGGGGGTGGAACTTTTTAGCTAATACTCTTTGGGTTTAAGATGACTCATCTTCAGTGCTAGCTAATTTGTCACAGCTAACTTGGTACTGTGTTACAGTAGCCTGCAGAAGATGGTTGACTGGAAGCCATGTGAGTGTGCCATACTATATATTGCTTTGTCTGTAACACTTGCTAACTTTTTTCTGTCTTCTTGCAGAGAGTGTGGATGCCCATCAGCGAAGCTTTGATGTAGGAATTCAGATTGGCTATCAGCGGCGGAATAAGGATGTCTTAGCTTGGGTTAAAAAACGCAGAAGAACTATTCGTAGAGAAGACTTGATCAGCTTCCTATGTGGAAAAGTTCCTCCTCCAAGAAATTCTAGAGCTCCCCCAAGACTGACTGTAGTATCCCCTAATCGAGCTACTTCAACAGAAACTAGCTCATCTGTAGAGACTGATTTGCAACCCTTCCGTGAAGCCATAGCTCTGCATGGTAACAGTAACTTTTTCAATACTACTTGGTTAAAGTTGGGTGGGGGTTCTTAAAGCATGTCTGGCTCTTGGCCATTGTTGGTGTCATAATGTCATGTACTTGATGTTCCAGCTGAAGGTATCTTCTTAATTCTCTAAGGGGGTTTTTGCATCTATAAGGCATGTAGCTACTAAAAAGATATGTAGCTAAATATTTTGAATGAGGAAGAGGTATTGAATAAAAATGAGGTTTGGATCTGTAATCTACAGCTGTGAACTCAACAGTTAAGTATCAACTCTTGGTAGTGTTTTTGAAGCATGAAGGGGCTTGCCATTCATACCAATGCTGAAGTAAACAGAATTCTTGGAAAATGATATTACACTAGCAACTAGTTAAGTATTAGAATTTGATTAGTAACAAGTAACTGGCACATTTTCGCAGGTTTAGGGAGGGAATTCAATGTCTGAAGCTTCTATCTCTAGGGTACCTTACCTCACTCTAGTACTCTTGTTATGTGCTGGATAATGTGGTTCATCATCCTACTCAGAGTGCCCCGGAAAGGGTACTTCACTTGCACATCATTGCAATAATGGAGTCCTGCTCAGAACTTGGTTCTTGTTCACTTCCAGTCTTAAATGTGTCATACTGAATTTCCTTCCTTGGCATTACCAACAATGTTGGTGGTGTAGCTTTTCTCCTTTTCAGATGTGAATATTCAGTAGCTTATTTTACATTGGACTGTTAAAACATGTTTTTCTTTATTACTTGCTAGGTAAGTTGCTCCTGAGGTGAAATGAAGCCATTCACCTGTGGGTTTTATGCCTTCTAAAATTCTAAAGGGTAGCAGCTATCTTGAGGTATAAATAGTAGACCATTCTAAAAGTAAACCAAGTCAAGCCATCTAGAAGTACAACCTATGAAACTTAAATTTTTCCTGTCTCAGTATTCTCACTGGGGGGGTGGAATTAACTCAATTAGATGAGTGGATTCTTGAAAATGCAGTCTTTGCTTGTGCTGAGGTCTTGAATTTTCAAGATACGTAAGCCAGACGCTGTTAGTGTCTAGGTGGCAGCCCAAGTCTGGTATTGTTTGCTGCTCTCTTGCCATAGAAATCAAGCGTGCTTCTACCCAGTCATGTAGTTTTTGGCAGTTTTCCTACTCGTATTGGAAGCTAGCTAGGGAATTCTGCACACCAGTATTGCCTATTCAGTAGGTGAAGATAATTTAATGAGGAGAACAACTGCAGAAGCTGGCTCTTGCCTGATATGGTAAATACCCTCTTTAAAAAAGTCTTGTTTTCTGAACCTGTAGTTGAATTTGGTGTGCAGCTGGCTTTAATTATAAAAATGTACTCTCAAGCAAGAGTAACCTGGGTAGACCTCAGTTCAGCACAGGGAGCTCTCAAGCAAAGTAACCTCAGAGGTATTTTTATTGGTGGTATGGCTCTTTTCAAGTCCTGTGTTTCTTAGCATCTGCTTTCTATAGAGGTGGTTTATGGAAGTCACTTTGCTATAGCATGGGAATCTGAACCATGAAGTATAAAGGTTTTTTCATATTTTGTAACCTAATACACAGTCATGAGGACTGTAGGAAGTTCTCTGCTCTGTACTGGCACTGCAGCAGCTAGAAATGCCCTCTTCCACTTCTTCAGCTGATTGACAAGATTACATGTCGGTCACCTTCTGGATTAGGTTCTTTTGATACCAGTTTCAGTCTGGTCTTTGACACAAATGCTTTAGTGCTACTCCTTCAGTGACTAGGCTTGTATTTGGCCTCATAACTGTTTGTAGATTATTGCCTACAATGTGTCTGTTCCTCAGGCTTCTCCCCTTCTTTTCTTCAACAGTAAGGAAGTTGTGATTAAACTGTCTCCCAGAGTATTTTCCTATTTATCACAGGGCTTCTCAGGTGATAAATCACCGTGTTTTGATTTCAAAATGTGCATAGGATCTTCAGGTGTATGTAAATTAATGCCCTCTGTAGGGCTATGTCTTCATTTTTAGCAGGCTGTTTAAAAGTGATTTGAGGCTTCTAGGTATTAAGAGGAAACATGAGAAAACCTGATGATAGTGAGTATCAGTCTCAGCAACTGTTTAGGACTAAGGCTTTAAGGGGAATTTTAGACTGGCATGGAGTGGGGCTTTGTGCTGGTAGGCTTTCTGTGGAAACAGTATTTATCTCTCGGTAATGAGGATAGGCTGAGTTAGATCTGATGGGCAATGCTAAAACTTGCTGCTCTAAGCAAGGTCTCTTTTAGTGAAGCAGGGATAAGTCTGTCACTTTATGACACCAAATAAAGCTCTGTTGAAGTTGAGCTGGTTTACTGACTTCTCAGAAGTAGGTATTAATATATGTCTAAAGACCATGGTCCTATAACTTGTTGGTCTTGCTCTTTGATGGGGGGGAGGTACCTGTTTTTTAATCATTTAACCTCTAAATGCTTCATAATCACATCTGATAGAAACTGTAGTAACAAGGTAGCTAATAATTAAATATTCCCTGGAGCATCAAACAACTCTAGGTGTATGCCCTAGACTAAAATATTAGAGAAGAAGGGTATCTTCAGGTATGGTACAATCTTCAAAGTGTATGCTGCGTCTGAAATCTGGTAAAACTTGATTTTTAGCCTTACCACTTCTATCCCAAACCTTGTTGTATCTGACCTATACTATAGCTCCACAAGGTAGTTAACAGGTTTTTTTTTTGATGAAAGCTAGGGATTTTTAACCCAAAATTTAATCTTGTGATATTAGTTATCAGTAGCCTTTGTGCTTTAAGGAATCTTGTTCTTCTCTGCTGTTCTGCTTTCAAGACTTGTTACAGTAGCTAAAAGCAAAATGATCATGACAAAAAAACCTGCTGATACAAGAATATTTAACGCTTATGTGATCTATCTTTTCTTTTAACTCTGGCATGTATGCTGTGCAGCTGTTACTGAAAATTTTAGTGTAACTTAAGGGTACTTGAGAATGAGGTTTTGGAACTAAGTAACTTCAGAGAGTTAAACTCTGGTAAATAAAAAAATCTTTGCCCTTTATCTCAGCTTTCCATTATTAGTATGCTGATGGTTAACCTTTGTAATAAAACATGGCTGGAAACTTGAACTGTGAATACATGAAAAGAAATTAAAACCTTGAAGAAAAGCTGAGTAGTTAGCTTAAAGTAATATATGCTATTTTACTTTGAAGTTCAAGTGTATTTTTCTGAAGCTTAAAGAACTGTGCATCTGATGCTTAGCATTATAAGATGCGATATTATTGTTCAACATCTCAGATACAGAGTCAGGTTTTTAACTTCCACCAGACTGTTGTAGTTAGCGTAGGTATGGATATATCTTCACCTGCTTTCTGGATGTGTATTGCCATATCTGATTCTGTGAAGGGTTTCAAATGACAGAATTACATCAAACTGAGCGAAGTCATAAGATTCCTGAAAGCTGACATGTGCCAGGTCATTTTCTGCTTGGCTGTGGCTTGCATATGAAGTCTTGCAGTGTTGGTGGCTGTGCATGGTCCATATTTGCAATGATGCTTTAGTCTTCTAATGTGGGATGTGCTCCATGCTTTAGAAACCATTCTCCCAGCTATGATTTCAGAGGGGAGAAGCAAGTATGAGAATGCAGTGCTGAAATGCATTCTTAACTAAAAATCATGTGGATGGATAACAGCACAGTGAAGGAGCGTTAGTTCTTTTGCTCCTTAGCTTTAATGTTGACGTATATCATTAATGTGACTGTCTCTGGAGGGGGGAACCCTTGCTCTAGCATGTGAAAGTGTGTGGCTTGGCCCCTTTACAGAGCCTGAATTTCCGTTTGACTGCCTTATTCTCTTATCAAAATGATAAACTGCAATATAAAACATCAGTGGTTATTAGCAGGGTGAAGAAGCAGTTGATGGCAGAGGTGATGGGACAGCAGAGCTCAGGATAGTTTGAAAGACTTTGACTTAAAA